TCTTTCCCACTTCAAGGATTTTGTTGGAAAGATAATTTTCCAACAAAATCCTATAACTATATTTTATGTTACCCCAGAATTTTTTTATGTTTGATGGGGTCTATTATTAGAGGTGCCAATATGGATACCAAGATCTCTGCCTCCCTGGAGAATTTATACATGGTATGTGGGAGGAATTGCTTATTTTCTCTGACAGGAATCCTTTTCTGAGAAATCTAAAGTGCTGTGGTAGATTTATAGAAGGCCCTTTGATTGTGTGGGAGGGAGACATTGATACTTTAAAACAGTTTGGGAATTATGTAAATAATTATGATTTCAGTTAGCATTTTACTTATGTATGTAATAAAGAGCGTAAACATTTTTTTGGATCTGACATTGGCAAGAGATAAATCGATGGGAGGTGTTTTCCAAGTACCTTTTGGAAACAGTGTACGGGTAATACAACTTTACATGATACTAGTTGTCACCCCTCCCACACCATCAGGACCATCCCTATAGGAGGAATTATTTTTAGAACAATCCACATTAGTAGAAAAATGACTAAGGGGTCTATTCACGAAGCTGCCGAAGGATCTGGCCGTAGCTTCGGCTGATCCTTCGGCTAGCTTCGGCCCCAGGACCCCTTCGGTTCAGTAGAACCGAAGGGGTGCTATACGGGCTATTCACAATAGCCCGTACAGCTCCCGATCATGGCCGAGCGGCTCAGTCGAGCCGAACGCATTGGGCGGCCGACAGCCTGCTTCTGACAGCTGGGCGGAGCCAGCTGTGATCTTACGGCTGGCTCCGGCCACTTGCAGAGAGATCAGCGTCCCTGGTTACCTGCTAACCAGGGACACTGATCTCCAAACAGCTAACTCTCCCTGGCGCCCCTGGAGTCTCCTGCTCCCGGCCACCAAGGCGAGAAACACTGCTGTGTCTTTTTTTTTCTTTATTCTGACACGAGCGATGTCAGAATAGGAAGAAAAAAAAATTCCCATTGAAAAGCATTGGTACATTACTATTGGCTATTTCAATTTGCAATAGCCAATAGTAAACTAGAATTGTACCCGCCCTCTGCTGCAGTTCCCCATCAGGTCCATCAGCAGAGGGCGGGTACAATGCTAGTTTACTATTGGCTATTGCAAATTGAAATAGCCAATAGTAACGTACCAATGCTTTTCAATGGGAACATTTCTTTTTTCTCTATTCTGACATCGCTCGTGTCAGAATAAAGAAAAAAAGAAAAAGCAGGGTTTCTCTCCTGGGCGGCCGGGAGAGTTTTTCTTTTTTCTGTTTTTTTTTTACAACAGCAGAGCCGCCGGACAATAGGAAACTATTGGGCGGAGCTAGCTGTCACTGCTAACTTCGGACAAATCGTTTTCTATTTACTTTTTTTTTCCCAAAGCCACGCGAAGCAAGCCGATGTACGGCTGAAATCAGCCGTACCAGCCTGAAGTGAAGAGACGAACAGTGTTCTGCTCACTTCACTTCAGTTCGGTCATTCACTCGGCTGCCTATGGCAGCTTAGTGAATAGACCCCTAAAAATACAGGTTACCCATAAAGATTAATCTGTCAAGCTAAGAAGAGAGCAGGAAAGATAAATAGAAGCAAATTAATAGGAGATAAACAAAAAATAGCAGGGAGGAGGATGGGAAAATAAATTATGGGGCCACTTACACCATGAAGTTCAGGCAGGTTGTGGATATTGTGAAAAATAATATCTATATTTTGTTAAAGAATTACGACAAACGTTACAAAAGGGCTGACACTTTTCTAGCTGGCGGGCTACAACCATGCACTCTTTATTATCTCCTAGACAGTATAGGAAATATTAGGTTAATAGTAAGTGTGTGTAAGTGTGGCTATGACACATGTAAGTACTGTAAATGTCATAAAAAATGAAAGATAAAATCAGAGAAAATAGGGAATGTGTTTCTTATAAGACAATACACTAACTACTGTAATACATGATATGTGGGGGTGTAATAAACTGTAAGGTTTGCTCTAACTAATATGTATGGTGCACAATGAGAATGCTCAGTATTAGAATAGGAGAACATTATCAGGATAGCTCAAACCCTAAAGCATCAAAGTCTCCAAATGCGTTTGCATGTGTTTTTTATGCATTTCCATACGTTCCAGTGCATTCCAGACCAGAGAAAATGAGACAAGCAGTATTTTTTTTGTCTGGATCGGAACTTACTGTGCTGGTGTGAACAGAGCCCAGAAATACCATAGGAATACAATGGGATGCTTTTTTGGTCCGGGAATAAACATGGTGTGAACAAGTCCTAAGAGTCATCAGTTAAGGGAGGAGAGTTTGGAACATTTTGTTGATTGGATATAAAGCATGTCTAAAGAAATATTTATATATTTATAGTCCCCTTTTCTGTATTTTCCCTGTCTGTTTATACAGTCTTTAATTTTTTTAACAAAGTATATCTATGTTGTTAGTTGCAATGACTTATTCCCCTTTCTTTATTGAGAAACTGCCCAGTCTCACTGAGGAATGGTAGTTAGAGATTACTTTGATTAGACTTTTTTTGCTGCTTCCCATGAAAGGAAAGGGGTATGATTTCAACAAGTTAGCTATGACTAAGGCTTGTATAGATAAAACATCTTCTAATGCATCTGATTGCTGTGATGTACATGATTTTGTCTATCAGTTAATACATAGGACTTATGGATCGTATTTGCACTCCAGTCCTTTCACTTGCTTGCACAATTTATGGAAGGTAACAGGAGCCCTTCTGTTAAGTAGGGATGATCTCAGGTTTGGAACCCGAGCTCCTCCAAACCTGAAAAGTTCCTTGCACTGCTGCCCAATTAGTGGATTCCCTGCCCGCAGTTGCACATGAACAAAGGGGTGGGATGCTGTGACATCATTTACCTTATATGGCCACATTTGACCTAATATGGTCATGACATAGATCGAATATGGGCATATGGCCATATAAAGTCAATTATGTCAGCAAAAGCATCCCTCCCCCTTGTTTATGTGCAGCTGGGGCAGGGAATGCCCCAGCCCATAACTGATTAGGCCTGAGGCCCAATGTGCCTTTTTGATCAGAGGAGGTCAGAGGTCTGAACCTGAGCTCATCCCTACTGTTGAGACCAACATCAGTGGCTGCAGTGGTGAAGGAGGTAGAGCAAAACCCTTTTTATGTATACATTTGTGAACGGTTGTCTGAAAGGTATGTTAAAAATACACAGTACTGATGACTTTTTAACCAGGCTTATCTGAGAAGCCATTTCATGTGAGCTGCTAAAGAATTGGGTTTGATGCTGAGCAGAAGTGTAGGAAATGGTAAAAGAGCTGACAGAAAAAAGTTACAACTCCTTAGGGTGGTACCTTACCCAGCCTCCCTAGTGAAAATACAGTAATAGGCCACATCTGGTTTCCATGTGTAGCGCTCACCCGAGAAGGAACTGCCAGAATAAACTGGGTCATCCATAGCCTGTCTAGGGATTTTGGCAACCAGCTGCCCCATTAGCATTAACCTCCCTCTTCTAGTGACCAACAGAGCTGCTATCCAGGCCAGAAGTATGATGCTGAATAACTTTATTAACCTCTGACCTTAGAGAGAGGGTATAGGGGCCTAGACATCCAGGTGGAAACAGACACAGACTTCAGACTCACCAGTCCCTTTTAGTACTCCAGTGTGGATTAATAGGAACACCATTTGGCACTGGGTGTTTGAGAAACCCTGAAGAGGGATAGGTGCTATCCCATAACTGGACTGAGCACATGGCAACTCCTCTGAGTATATAGGCACTTCCCCAGCATACACCACTGGCCATGAAACCACAGGAGATTGGTTGGTAATGTCCTCCCATTGGTTGCAGCATAGTCACACCCCACTCAGCCAGGTACAGTCAATGAATTGAACACCTGGAATTAACCAGATAAATACCAACTATAATTCAGCAAGACTAACTACAGCTCTGGCAATCACTAGATTTGTAGTAGCCACTCCACTAAGGGTGGTAGGAACTACATCTGAATTGTGAATTGTGTGAAATTCTGATTAAAAAAATGCAAATTCTACAAACAAATTTTGCTAATTTACGTATAGGAAAGAAGATATTATTGAAGATCTATTTTGCATTTAAAATCTAATTTGTGACCTTAAAAATATACCCATAATACCAGACAATGGGGTCAATTTTCACAGGTGCAGGCAGTGAATTAATAATTGATCTGACCTCTGATCCATTATCTATTTTGAGTATAGCCCCTCTAGTAGATATATTTGCATGTCAGGCACCATCTAGTTTCTGGTACAGTGTACAGTCTCTCCTGTTGTCTCCAACATATTAGTATACCACAGCAATTCTGGATCTGGAACATTTTGCAAAATGAATCTTCTTATGTTCACTTAGCAGAAGCTTAACTAGGTACACCTCAGCTATAGATTTGCGGAACTGGGTTTTTTTTTATCCTTGAGACATATAGCAAATTACAAAAATTGTTTAAGGCATATTGGCATGAAAAATCTCATTAGGTATTGAGAAAAAGTGATTAAGGGGGATATGATCACCTTGTAAAATACATAAATGTTCCAAATACCAAACTCAGTAGACAGTTCTGTACTTTAAGGTCACCACAAAAGACATGGTGGCACTCTTGACTGAAGGAAAACAAGGAGCATTCATGTGTCATATGTTTGAACAAAATGGTTCTTCATTAAGTAATTGTCACAAAGTTCACCTGAGAAAACAAGATTGCATTTGAAAAACAAACACAGTTTATTTTCTAAAATAAAGTTTCCAAGCTACACGGGTCATTCCAATATGTCCTTACTAAGTTCCAGTAACTTAGTTGAAGATAGAATAGGCATTTGATTGAATCCATGAATTCACCTCTCTATATACCTTCAAATTCTTTAGTATTCAGGAGCCACACATTAACCACTACAATTGCTGGCGTGTTATCTTCACTCAATGGGGTGTTCAAGGCTTTGCTTTTATGCGGTTTTTGAAACAGGGATTTTTTTGTTTTTCTTCGGAGCATACTGCCTTATGTTGTCACCATTAGATAATTGAGGCCATCCACATTCCTTGCTTCTGTGAGGGTCACCGATCCAGTGTCTTCGGAAGTTGAACCCAGAACGCTAACATTTGTATCTGGAAAAAGTAAACACGTTTTGTACATGTATTCATCTGAAAGGCCAAGGAAAATGATCTGATTGAAAAAAATTTGAACCATTTGATGAAAAATATTTTATCATAAAACATTAGTAGAGCCTTCAACAGAAGGAAAACTTCAATTTACATTGCAGACATTCTCTCTCTGCTTTCATGATCAATTGGAATTTTTATAATAAAAGATCTCTGCAATGAGTTGACTTGTTTTGAACACTGAGATACTGTCAGGAAAAGACAAAGACTAAGATTTTACTGTGTCATGAGAGAACAATGCGCTTGTTAGAAAAAAGAGTCACATTGAAGGATAGTGAATAGTTTTGTTCCAACATCTTAATTTACCATGGTATAACTGACAGCCGATAAGCTATATATTTCAGCTGTCTCTGTTAGTTTAGCAAAGGGAACATGATATAGTGAATTTGAAGGAGTATTGATTGTGTAATTGTGTGTAATAAACATATACAATAGATAGATGTGGTCTTTTTAACATTGCACTTACCAAATCGGCAATTCACTGGATAATTGTTGGTCCATAGAATAAGTCTTTATTGTCTTTGACATAGCTGATTACTAAAAGGTTAGGTCACCAGGCCCATTCAAACCGTACCGCAGTGTGCCGCAGTGCATACATTTTTGTGCGTTGAGGTGCACTACATTAGTCTGCCTATTACATGTAAATGGGATGCAATGCACAAAACTTTTGGGGAGGCTGCATTTTGTGCAGTGCACTGCAACCTACACTGTGAACTGAGGAATTCTACAGTGCAATACAGCACATGAGTGGTATTCAAATGCATGTTGCCACAGCGCATTAATGCACATACTACCTTGTTACCCTAATTTGCACCTTTCAGCGTGTGCTACTGCAGCCCACATGTGGGAACAGACCCTATGCTCACAGACTTTTGATGATCACTATGAACATTTTGCTAAATTTATTATGATTGAGCAACAAGTGAATTGTCTGTGAGGTATCCCCGACATAGGCAGTAGTCCCTAAATATTTTTACTGTGAGTTTAAGGAACAAATATATGTCATATTATTTCTTTCTAACACATGTTATTTCTAACACAAACCTAAAGCATTTTGTTTCACACACAATATGGAAAAAGTTATCATTCCATTGTTGACTGTGCAACGGGGGCCCCAAGTCAATTGGACTGGTTTACTAAAGAGTGAAGTGAGGTGATATGAGGTGAAGTGAACCAAGCTTGATTCAGAAAAAGTATAAAGTGATATCACTTCTAACATCTGCAAATCACTTGCACATGATTGGGTATCTTAAATGATCACAGGTTCACTTTGCCTCACTTCACTCTTTAGTATGAAGAATTTAAAAAGTCAGTCAATTACCCAGATCTGCTGTATTAAATAAAATAGAAAAAAAAGTCTTATTAGTTTACTCTTGCCATTGTTGGATTACAAATGCCAAATAGAATAAATGTTGGTTTTTCCAAACATTCTAACTTCTAATATTCTAAAAATCACCAGTGGCGTCACAAAGGGGTGTGGCCCGCACCCAGGTGACACCATTGGAGGGGTTTCACCCCCTCTAAAAAGCATGATTTTCTAGGTTTGATTTACTGAAGAAGTAGGAGAAGTAGTAAAATTAAGCTAGTAAATAAGGTGAAGCTACAGTCATCATGTTAAATGAGTGTAACAGTTTTATTGTTTTGATGTACCGTTGCACATTATTGGTTGTTCAAAGCGAACCCAGATTGTCTACTACACTAATGAGAACATTAGGAGAATTATGAGGCGAGTGATTTTCACTCAGCCTCATAATCTGAGCCAACCTGCGACGACTGTCACTCACGGCTCCCTGCAGGGATTCTCCCCCTCCCGTGTCCGATCCTCCAGCGCTGACTGGCGGAACGGACAGGGGAGGGGGCGGGCACAACTGGCTCTGCCTCTGGATAGGCAGAGCCAGCTGTCCAGCTGTCAATCCCGCAGCTTGGTGGATCTCAACAGCAATGTTGGCATCCGTCCCGGCTGCGGCGTCTCAGTATACCGCGAGCTGTAGTTCACGGTATACTGAGCTTTGGGTCACGGGAGGACGCTATCCCTGACCCCATAGTTCTCCTTTAACTTTGCTAAGTGAACAACCTCTGCTCCTTAAGAAAATCAACCCTGTGGTATCATTAACAAACAAAAAAATTCTATCCAGTAATGAGAGGGATTGAGTAGCTGGCTCCATGTCAATGCATTGTGACATAGCAGCAGCAACTCAAACAACCCCCTACTGCTTCTTGCTTGGTCACAAGGGGTATATTAAAAAAAAATGTATGGTGCCAACTAAATGAAGGGCAAACTAGGAGGATAAAACATACTGTCGGATCCACCAGAGTCAGCCCCATTCTGATATCCTGGACAGCAGCAGAGATGATGGAACCTTCCTTTTGCCTGTCCCTGACAGTTGTAAGAGTTGACAGGGGCACTTGACAATATTAACAAAAACTATTTATTTATTACAAGTATTTATATAGCGACGACTATTTATGCAGTGCTTGACATACTGCAAATTCAGATCACTCCCTGCCCTCGAGGAGCTGACAATCTAAGGTCCCTATCTCACGTACATGCATCTCACGTACATGCATACAAGGCTAATTTAGAGACGAGTCAATTAACCTTCCAGCATATATTTAGCAATTATTTTTCTTATTGTTTTCATGACCATTTATATTTGTTTTCACTTATCTTCCTATATTTAACCTTAACTGTGGCAAAAGATGGGTTTTAAGGAACTTTGTCTTTAAAGTGGACATTGCACTCCAAGCAAAGTCTGCTTACTTAGCGAGGGTCTCCTCCCACTTGCTAAAACACTGCCCTTACCTGAAAAAAAAAAAAAACAATAAGGAAGAAAAACTGTCAATATACGGTACATATCTATGCCCCAGCTTTTGTACTGCATGGGGTGACATCACCATCCTTCCTTTGAGTTCACAGGGAATGGCAAGTAGCCCAAAGTTTGCAAAATGATGCTCCAGCACAGAGCACAGAGGGTCAACTTCTCACCAGATCTGGCTATTCAGTATTCCCCAGGGAGGATGGTGACATCTGCCTTGTCTTTTTTTACTCCACCTTTTTTTTCATTTTAGAACTGTCTTTTAGCAAGGTAGAGGGGTACCTTAATAATTAAGCAGACCTTGCTATTTAAAGTGTATTTCCACTTATGCAGCCAAATTGGGCTAAAACCTATGTAAGGTTTGTTGCATGTTCCCATTTACGTAGCATAACTTAAAATATTTAGTAAATTATGATTAACTTATTCCTCGCTCTTTTATAAAACCTCCAAAACAGACGTTATCCATTCTATGTAAGGAAACAAAGGGGCTGGGGAGTTCATGTTTACCATAATGAACCCTGTCTGTACTGTGCTGGAAGATCTCTTCATCAATTAGAAATGAGATTTGAACAGTGTCTGCCCTAACAAAGGCTTGGGTTCTGCATTGTATGTGAATGCACTTTATTTCTGTCTGCCCCAGTTTGTCCCTACCCACTTTCACTTTGAAATTGTTCAGAATAGCTTGCAGTGTGCCCAGAAACAACCAGAAAAGTGTTAATATATTTGAAAAATATATTTTTAGGCATGCTGTGTGAATGGGAACATGTACACATATACTGTATAGTGGGGGTTACTCAACATTGACTGCAAAAGTGGAACTACACTTTTTAGTGGAATAGTTACAAAATGTTGTTGTTTCCTGTGCATTTGGATTCGGATGAACCACAAAATCCCATTGATTCAGCAGTTCGTCCAAATCCGAAATAATGAATTATTATATGCACCGCCATCTTGCTGCCTTTTTAGCCCTTTTCATTAGTTTTTCTCTGAAATGAATTTTTATGCTGTGCACATGCCTATTGTTTCCTAAATAGTGAGTCCCTAGATGACTTTTTGTCTTGAAAATACCATGCTTTGTAAGTAGATCTCAAGATTATGCTGGCCTTACCACCGTCCTTGACGTCTGTCATGTGTGAAGTTTTGTTTGATGAACCACTTAGCTCAAAACCCTTGAAGCTTGGCTGTTTTGAAGCACGTAACCAATAAATGTTCCCTATTTTCAGCTTGCTCTTGAGGCGGCAACATTATAATAAGGGGTTCTAATTAAATCTTGGTATTTATGTTCCAGACACTTGCCAGTCAAGCCTGCCTATGTTTAGAGCAGTTTCCTGTATAAGTGTATGGTGGTGATGTTTGCCTAAACGAAGCTGTATGAACTCATGATGATATTTTTATTCATGCATGTCTGTGTTTCTATTTCTGTCAGCTGATTGATAGAACTCCTCTTACTAATAATTCAGACATGAAGTGTGTTTCCGGCTAACTACTAAAAAAGCTTGTGTTGAAAACAAAGGACACTACATATTATTGTTTTGGTGGTAGAGTCAATAATGCTAAAATATTTATAATCATGATATAGTGGACACACATGGATAAAGTATTGGATGCAAGTAATAGAAGTTAGGGTGTCACAAAAATAGTGGTTCCAAGTTTGTTGGTTTGTAGCACCAGATGCTGGGTTTAATCCTAAGGATGTTTCAATAGAGTTTATGAATTTCCTGAGTTTCCTTCTGTTTGCAGTGTGATTACAGCAGCAATGTTAAAATAAATCTAAACCATAACTAGATTATTTTTAGTTTACTATACATTTTTTAATTATTATTCTTATAGATTTTTGTTTTAGAAAATATAGTTTTTGCTTTTTTGATAAATTTTTAATGCTAATACTCTTCAGCCTGTCAGCCACTTCCTGTTTACATGCACTCAGAACATGCCTGTGTATCAAGATTCATTGCAGCTAGTTTTAGTCTCACTGGAAGTTTCACTGGAAGTGCATGTGACAGGCAATTGGCAGAAAGAAACAGAGCATTGCCACCCCATAACAGGTGTTGTCTGAACAAGAACCTAAATGGCAGGATTACCAAGTATTATTTTAGTGAAACCTGCAGATTTAAAAAGATTGAAAATAACTTTTGAATTTACATGATCCTGTTACAGATTATATGAGATTGTAGTGACGGGGTTTACATCTACTTTAAAGTCCAACTCCCAGCACCTTCATTTTTATACTTTTAGAAGCCTTAATAATTATGTATCACTGCCCTTTATTAACACAACGTGCTTTCATGAAACCTCCTGTAACTGCTGTTTTTAGCTTCTCCAGACTGTATAACAGGAGATGAACTTCCGGCTCCCAGCCATATCAGAATGGCTTCTATGAAAGGCACCAGTGATGGTGTCATGGCTCCACCCCTTTTGTGCGCTCTCCATTCACAAAGCCTATGATAAAACTGCAGCTGCCTGGCTAATTGTGATGAGGCTTCATTACCATGCCATTAAACAGAAACTTTACCCATATCTTTAAAATAACAACAAACACACCTTTAGAAATGTTTAGTAATGACAGTCTTCTGACAGTGGCCATCTTAACTAAGGGCAGGTTACTAGATCTCCATTTACTTCCTTGAACTTTGGCACATGTGACCAGGACATGTGACCATGCACATCATCCCAGGGGAGGAAAATGCCATTCCCTGAGATCTCATGAGATTACAGATGAGATTTACCTGCAATGCTCTGTGGATGTAATCTTTCCAGGATGCAACGCTTTTGGCACATTACATAATTTTGCCAGAACTGGACCAGGATGTAGATGAACTCTATTTGTAAGTAAATGAGAAACAAGTTTGTTTAACTAATGAATGTAAGATTATTTTAAAGCACCATGCAGAGCTGCATGCTGATTTTTAGTGAAAGGGGTAAAGGTCCACTTTAAAGGGCTCTCTGGCTCCGAACTAGTGATGACTGTTGTGATGAATGCATTCGCTTTCGTATTACTTCTTACACTTAACATTTATCGCTAGTAGCACAGATTCCCCCTAAATTGAAATGGCCTAATTCCGACCCAAAACTCTAACACATGGATCACATGTTCAGTACTTTAAAAAATATGAACTGGTTTTGTAGACACATTATACAAATATTTAACCAACAGCAAACAACAGATACATATCAAGTTACCTTCAAAGCCTGGATTAACAATGCCTTCCAAACTTTTCTGTTTGGGACGAGTGCATCTTAATGAGCAGCCTTTCAGCTCTTCAAGCTGTTCATGAATTCGACTAAAGCTAGGTCTCTTTACTGGATCTTGCATCCAACACTTAAGGATCAGGTCCCAACTGAAGAAAGAAAAAAAGAGCTACTATCAGTAAAGGTTTTATATTTCCAATTATTTTCCTGAAATGTATTGGTTGTAACACTATAAGGTTGATAATTATATAATGATGTCAGCAATTGTAAAGTATTAAAAGGATAAGTGCCCCTTTAGCGAGGTTATGGGTACAAACTATTATAAAAATGCTAGGAGAATATAGCCATCTGCAAATGAGCATAAAATAGAATTGTGTTAGTGAAGATACATTAGTTTTATGTATCTTCACTAACACAATTCTATTTTATGCTCATTTTAGACAAACTTTCAATATATGTTACCTAGCATATTTAACCAGTTGACATCCGCAGTGTTAAACCCCCTTCCCATCCAGGCCATTTTTCAGTATTCAGCGCTGTGGTACTTTGACTGACATTTATTCCGTCATGCAACGCTGTACTGAAATGAATTTTATTGGGGGGGGCGAAAAAACGAGCACATATAGACGATCGGCGGGCTATGGATCCGCCGATCGTCTATATGTGAAACACCCGGTAACGGGTGTTTGCATTGGTCGGGTCTTTTCTGCCCGTGCGTGCCCGCTAGGGGGCGCGCGCAAGCAGAAAAAAAATGCCAACCCGCCAATGTTGCAGTGCCGTCTGTCAGTTTTTTTACAACGGGCGAACGGCAAGTGGTTAAAAAAAAAAAAAGTAGCTTTCGCTCCAATACTACCCTCCTCTCCAGAAATGTTTTCTGTGGATTCCCTGCTTTCTGATCCACTGATGTCCTTTTCAGGGTGGAATTACACCCAGTATAATCCATCCCACTTTTTGTGAGCCCTGGCTCTCATGGGCACGCCCATTAGTGGCACATTATCACATCAGCCAGGGCTCACAACACTTCTGGACAGTGTGGTGCTTACACATCCTTACTTGTGTGGCGTGCAGTAAGGAGGAAGGAAAACCGCTGTTGCCATCAGAAAAGAGGAAGGACTTGACTAAAGTAAAATACAAAGATATTTTTAAAAGAAGCAGGCCAGGTACACAAAAAAGTGGAGCTGGGATTTAAATAAATAATATTTTCGAAACTAGCACTCTACATTGAAAGGCCAGTGCCACTAAATGTGAAATTGAACATTCTGATTTTAACATAAATGACTTTAAAGCTGACCATACACTGCTGAATTGGCCAAAATTTGAGCTGTGGCCCTGTCAGCACCACCCAGCTTGACAGAAGTTAATTTTTTTAGTCGACTTTTGTTGAAGACGGGTGGATAATTGTCAGCTCAACAGTGAGTACAATCAATTCGATGTAGTCATTGTTCGAGTATTCAGAAGCCATGGATCCCACTTGCTGCTGAACATAATAATTGTCAAGGAAGATTCATCCTGTTAGAATACACATTATTGTATTTATAGCAATAACTCCTGCAGTATACAATGTTGGTCACTAGATGGCAGTGTGTTTATAGCAGCCGTGTTCTTGTTTTAACCACTTTAACGGGCCGCCTTCTATAGATGTATTGCCGCCTGAAGTGGTTAATTAATACATAGCTACATTGATGTTTAGCTTTTAAATCTGCATTGAGTTCAGCTTTAAATATCCTACCATCAGAATGGAGTTCACATGTAAATATTCTACCATCAGACTAATAGTGATAGGAGGTGCTACGGACAACGAAATGGGCCAGTTTACTGTGATCTTAAATCAACATCACTGGTGGGAATGGTGTTTAGTCTATATTTTTTAAATGATTAATCTGTGGTTTACTTATCCTTTAACCACTTGTTGACCAGGGTGTTAAATCCCCTTCCTAGCCAGGCCATTTTTCAGTATTGAGCGCTGCGGTACTTTGACATTTATTCCACCATGCAACAATGTTTTGCTTTTTGCAACAATGTTTTGCTTTTTGCAACAATGTTTTGATTTTTTTGGTGGTATTTATTTTTATATTTTACTGTATAATGAAAAAAGCTAAACATTTTGAAAAAAAAACGGCCAAACAACCAAACATTTTGAAAAAAAACTGTTTTCCCTACGTTATGTTATAAAACATTTATCAGCACCCAATTTTTTGGTTAAATATTAAAGATGGGGTCACATCGGGTAAATAGACACCAAACATGTCAAACTTTAAAATTGTGTGCGGCCGCGAAATTGCAAAAAACTACCATGCCTAAAATTGTCCATAGGCGACGCTTTAAAAGCTTTTACCGCTCATCAGTTTAGTTTTATCAGTGATTGATGGCCCTAAAATAATTGCTCTCACTGTGATGTTCACAGTAATATGTAACATGTGTGGCGTAATCGTTGTAAACGTAGGCGCACCCAACGCGTATTTAGGTTTATAAGTGCGTACAAGCAGGGGCGGGGGACTTAAAATTTGTGTTGGTGTTTTTGTTTTTATATATGAGACTTTCATTTGGTTGTTTTTTTTACACTTAACTTTATTGCTATCACATAGGGTGATAAAAATCTCCCTATGTGATAGCCAAAAAACAATGACAGGTCCTCTTTATGGAGACATCAGGGAGAAATGACAGCTAAAGGCGGAAGTGATGTAATAAGACATCGCTTCCGCCTTTAGAGGGAAGGAGGAGAGATCAGCGGTGGGGGAATGCCGATGTCTCCTCCTTCTCTGTACAGAGAGTTGCTGTGCCGGTGTTCTCGATCCTGGGCACCGCAAGGGGAACAGCGGTGTCCGGGATAACCGGTAGCATCAGCACAGGGGGGGAGGCACGCGCCAGCAGGGGGGAGGGCTGCACAATGCAGGGTTATACAAGGGATCAGCCGGCTGTAGAGCCGGGCACTTACTTGAATATAACAGCCGGTAACGACTGTACACATTCCCCGCAGGATTCTGCTAGCGTGCGCCAGCGTGTAAATGTATGTCCACCCGCCAGAAAGCATCCTCCATCCGCCCGTATTTTTGCAATGGGTGGACGGTGAGGGGTTAAAGATCACATTAAAGACATGCTCATTATGGTTTTCTGTAGACATAAACTGATTAAATACTATTTCTCTAAAGAGAGTCAAACTGTTAAATTGGGGCTTAGGACAAAACCGTTGGGTTTTTGTAGGTTGCATTCAGCCCTTGAATGACTGATTCTTCAACCGCTGAGGAACAAGCGAATTCTGTAGATCCACAAAGTGTATGAACAATAATGCTCCATTACCATACTGACACAATAAGCAATAACTGGACTTATACATCATTGCATTAAAGACAGCAAGCAGTGAAAAGCAGTCTTGTAGTTGGTATAGCACTCTCTTTGATCAAGGGATGGAAGAAGAATATGTTTAGGAAGCTGTCAGTGAGTGTGGTATTCTTAAACGTTAGTGAGCTATGTGACACTATGTTTAGTGACAAGGTCACAGTAAAGTTGGATGGATTTGGTATGCATGTGAAATGTGAGACAGACAGTTGATCTGTTAATGGGAAAAATAGCCTTAAAGAAGAAATCGGCAAAAGGCAAGTGTGCACAGAAAGCCAAAGATATCATTAGAGCAGAAGAAACACAGCCACATTCATAAAGAGAGCAGCAAAAGTAACAAATAAGTCCAAATGAAAAACATTTCAGAACACCAGTAACAAGTGTTAGAAAAAGACATGTGTACAAATGTTAATTGTATAACAATAAATGTGCAATGGTGTACAGTGACTCCTGGCAACCAATCAGAAATCAGATTGCAGCAGCTGTGATAGGAAGCCCAATACAAGATTATTTCTCATTTGCTGCTATTGAACAGCACTACTTTTTGCACACTAGAGTTCTTTAAATGCACTAGCTATTTTTAATTTGTTGAGAGGGGGGTTCAAACATCAGATAAGGAGAATCAAGTAGAATATAGTTATTGACACTAGTATTGAATCAGCCATTGATTTAGCATTTGCACAGTTGGAAGTGGTCATTACATAAACAGCCCTCTACTCGAACACCGGGCAGGATTGCATTCCTGAAGCATGTTTGGTATTAAGATAATGTGGACACTCAGAGGTGTCAAAATTATCACAATTTAAAGTTATTTTACTGCTAAACATTAACAGGCAGTGTGCATATACACAGGCACACATTACTGAAATGTTGAAATCAACAGTATCTAACAGTATCTGTTCACTAAACCCTATGTTAATGGGAAAAGCAAAGTAATACAATCACGATAGAGTTACAACGCTACACCATTAGTGTCAGACTCCATTACCCCCTTTTAAATGTAGTAGTATTTGTGTGCAGGGATAATGTGGTTTTGTTTTTGGCTTAACATATAGAGAGGTCTAACGGGGTAGTTAGTTCTCGTCTACATGTGTGTAAACATCCAATAACTAATACTGTCCAAACTGGAAAGTAAATATGCATGTTTACCATTGCAATATACTTTGTACATTTTCTTAAAACACCTATCTATAGCATGATTACATATTTTCTGATAACGGTATGCAATACTTGTAATAACTGTGTACAGTTTATAAAGTCCTTTTTTAAAAATTTACATGCCCACATATACATTTCACATTTTGGGACACACACTGCCAGGGGTGTTAGACCAGCAACTTTCTTTTTTTTCTTTAAAGAAGTTTTAAAGTCCGTGTCTGGGCAACATAACAAAAAAAACATATGTATTACATATTTATACATGCACATGTCCACATATTTTGTGTCTTTAAAATGCTGCAAGTATATAAACATACCTGGTGATCCTGCCAGAAGTCTAATAAGCTCCCAACTTCCTGTTTTAACTGACAATGCTGCATTTGCTGCACTGAAATCCCAAGCCGTGTTCTTCCCTGCTGGACCACAGAACACCTCCCCTTCTCTTTATCATCATAAAAAAAAAGGGCAGTGCGTTCTGTTGTCTAGCAGGGGGGCTGATAACATTGCTTGGGGTTTCAGAGCAATGTCATTTCAAATAGGAAATTAAATAGGGCCATGTTCACGACGGCTTCAGCTTGTATGAGAGCAATATGTACAGGATTTGCAAAGCTTTCAACAAGCCTAGAGCTGCTTTGTTGAAGCCTTTAAAGAGCTC